GAATGAGATGGATGACTGTATTAAGAAAGTAGAAAAAAAAGTTTTAAGACGGACTAGAGAGAAAATAAATTCTGATAAGAAAATTTGGTGGTGCAATGATGAGGTTTAGAAGGCCATTAGCGAAAAAAGATCATGTTATAAAACTTGGCAATGTAATAGAAATGATCAAAACTTAGAAGAATATAAAAATGATAAAGAATAACATTGAAAAATACAAAAATGCTAAGAGTAACGTTGAACAAATCGTAAGGCTAAATTTAAGGCATAAGGCATAAGGCATATGATAATCTATACTGTAAACTGGGAACATAAAAGGTGAAAAAGGTGTCTTCAAGTTATCAAAAATGAGAGAGAAAAAGTGTAGGGATCTAGACCATTTTAAATGCATTAAGATGGAGGATTAAAGGGTTATGGTGAAGGATGAAGATCTCAACAAAAAGTGGAGGTTACTTTAAAAAATTATTAAATGATGAACACAATGGGTGCATAGTAGTAGAAGGAAACATTAGCATAAATAAAGGCGGAGGTCAGAGATACATTTGTAAGATTAGGATATCGGAAGTGAAGAATTTTTGAAGAGGATGAAAATAAGAAAATCTTTAGGACTAAATGGTATCTTGATAGAGGTTTGGAAGTGCATGGGGTTGGAAGTGCATGGGGAGATCAACATTGATTGGATGTCCAAGCTGTTCAACAAGGTATTCATAACAAAGAGAATAGCAGATGAATGGAGGAAAAGTACTGTGTGGGGTTTTGTGGCCATTTAAATGGCTTCTCAGAGCATGTAATATGACTATAGTGATGAGATAGCTCTAGTGGAAGCATAGTCTGAATGGATTGTGTGGCATGGTCCAGGGTGAACTGTGAGGCATCTCTGATGTCGTGACTCACCTAAGTTTTGATGGGCTATAGCTCAAGTTGTTGTCAAAAAAAACTTGTAGCCCTAGGAATTTGCGAACAACCGATAAGGGTTTTACTGTAGGGTCATCCCTTTATGAGATCGGAGTTGTGCCTATGGTAGTTGGCCAAAGAGGACAACGACCAAATCCTCATTATTACGATTGCAGGACATGTACACTAGATAGCCGTCCGGGAAGCTAGTGTTGTCGTCTACATGTGCTGAAAAGATGTCTTCCTGCAACACTTTCCTGCAACACTGGACTGTATTGTAAGGACCTATGTATATTATGCTCGAATGGTGTCTGGACTTGTCCATAGGGAGGAACCTGTAATCCATGAGCTAGGATCGTATCTCTGGCTGACTTTGATAATTCAAACATGAACCCCTGCGAAGGGTTGTGGGTCATCGAAACTGTTGAGTTAGTTTGAGAAGATGACATTGAGATGCGGTTTCTAGAAGGGATGGAGTCCTCAGTATATTTGTGATGTTCCTAACTTTTTGGATCCAATTCCTATCAATTTTTTTTAAATATGCTTACTTATGTTTTAATTATATTTTAGATAATTAAAAATGAATTTTTGGATCTCTCGGGATATTTAATTTAATGAAAAAGGATTTTTTTATGAGGAAAAATTAATTTTATGGATTTATTTAATTCAGAGAGAACAATATTTGCTGGTTTTCTAAAATTATTGTTATTTATCTAAAAGTTTTTTTGGGGTGCGAGGGCCCCTTGGGACTTTGGGCCCACCACATTTGAGCCCATTAGGTAGGGTTGTGGGGCCCTCCTAGCTCACTATGTATAGGACACCCCACATATTCCATTCTTTCTTTTTGTGTGTAGCTTGTGATGGAAGCCACCAAGATTGTATTACGGTATATTTGTGAATAAAGTTGTAGTTTTGGACACCTATAAGTGTTCTAGCCGATATGAATAAAAAAAAGAAACAAAAAATTTTAACTGTATATACTTGGCTAGATCATATTGTCCTACTTTCACTATGGTACCTATTTACAAGAACAAAAGAGATATACATAATTGTACGAACTATCGAGGGATCAAACTTATGAGCCACACTATGAAGTTATGGGAGCGAGTGATTCAGCAACGATTAAGCCATGAAATGAGTATATCAAAAAACCAATTCGGTTTTATGCCAGGGAGGTCAACAATTGAGGTTATTTTCCTACTTAGGCAACTGATTGAGAAGCTTAGCGTGAAGGGAAAAGACCTCCACATAGTCGTTATTGATATGGAAAAAGCTTATGATAGAGTGCCTTGAGATTTATTTTGGTTGGTGTTGAAAAAGAAAAGAGTCTCCAAATACTACATCGACTTGGTGAGCGATATGTATGAGGGACCGCAAACTAGTGTGTGAACAACTAATGGAGAGACGAGTGAGTTTCTAGCGAAAAGAGGTCTACATCAGGGGTCTGCATTGAGCCCATACCTCTGTCTTAGTCATGGATGACTTAACTAGGCACCTACAAGATGAGGTATGGTGGTGTATATTGATAGCAAACAAAATAATTTTGATTGATGAGACCTGAAGCGGTGTCAACACAAAGTTAGAAATTTGGAGGGACGTCTAGAATCTAAAGATTTTAAAATTAGCCGGACTAAGATAGAGTATATGGAATGCAATTTTAATAATAATAATAGTACAGATAAGAAAGTAGTTAAGATTGGTGACCAAGAAATACTAAAAAGAGCGCACTTTCGATATTTTGGGTCGATAATCCAGAAAAAATGGAGAGATTGAGGTAGATGTTGCACATAGAATTAGAGCTGGGTGAGTGAAGTGGAGATATGCAAGCAAAGTTTTATGTGCTCTCTGCATACCATTGAAGCTGAAGGGCAAGTTCTATAAGACTGCTATTAGACCAGCTTTGCTTGACGGGGCAGAATGTTGGGTGGTCAAGAAACAACATACCTATAGGATGAGAGTAGTTGAGATGAAAATGTTGAGATGTATGAGTGGCAAGACAAGAATGGATAGAATTCGAAATGAATGCATCTAGGAGAACTTAGGTGTGGCTCGAATAGGCAATAAGATGAGAGAAACTAGATTTAGGTGGGTTGAGTGGCAAGCCAATAAGGGATAAAATTCAAAATGAATATATCTCGGAGAACTTAGGTGTAGCTCCAATAGGCAATAAAATAAGAGAGTAGACTTAGGTGGGTTGGCTATGTGCAACATAGACCCATTGTAGCACTTGTTAGAAGGTGCGAGTTAGTTTAAGTAGGAGGCTAAAAAAGGGCAAGGGGTAGGCCCAAAAGGACATGATTGGAAGTAGTGAGAAAAGATATGGGGACTTATGGCCTTGTTGAGGGTATGACCTTAATATAATAAAATAACGAACCATGATTCGTGTAGTTGATCCCAAATAGTTGGGAAAATGATCTGATGATCGTGATGATGATTATTTGTTTTTTATTTTTGGATTTCATTTCTTTAATTTGGCAGTAAAAGCAAAGATCCTAGTTTGTATTTTCTAATTTTCATTTACAACTGTATATTGTAGCACTGGTAAGTGGAATTCAGATTCCATAATACAGGACAGAACAACATTTTTTTTATTTTTTAGCCTTGCACTCCATGTAGCCACATCTTTCATGAATTATGGGCTAGCCGGTTTTGGTGTTACACTTAAGAGGTGATTCTTAAAGGTTTTGGGTCACCGATTCAGATTGTTTTGCTTTAGTAGAGTAGTAGATTCTTCCAGTTGGAGTTCACATTTTGGCTTTTAATTTTCCAATCCAATTATCATTAAGGGCAATTTTCTCATTGTGATCACATTACTGATGGAAAGTATCTGGAATTCCTTGAAGGTACTACCATCAATGGTGAATTCCTTTTGTGTCAATGGAGACTTTACATAGTTTTGGATGTCCTGGCTAACTTGGTTGGTTGAGGATAGTGTGGGATTTTGAAACTTCAAATGTAGTATTCTTACTTCTCTTTAGGTTATTGATCATTTATAAAAGAAAATGTACTTTAATACGCCCTTTTTTTAGCACTTGCTGTAAAATTTCCCTACTTGCAAACTCCATATCTCATTTTTGATTTTATTCTCATCTTGGGCTAGTATTCACCATTTCTGTTTGCCGCTTCTCTTTCCATTCCATCCATTCTTTTCTTGCCAATTGTGTCTCGCACAATCAGATTTTGCACGTGGCTATTTTGCACGTGGCATATTAGAAAGGACACTTTCTAAGTAGGAAATATTATATGTAGGAATATTCTTTTGTTCTGAAGCATTGGCTTAGCCATAGAAATCTTTGTTCGGGCGAGGGTGGTCAAAGGTTTGAACCATTGAAGTTTGTCCTAAAACATCATACTACTCAACCTTTCCTTTTTGAAGGATATGGGACAGGGTTTGAGTTGTTGAGAACATGGTTTGAGTTGTTAAGAAGTTGGCGATTACAAAGGTGTGTCAATGTTTGAACCCTACTGCAATGCAGTTTAGCTGGCATGTTTATGCACTACGAGTCATCTAGAGCACCTATGCCTGTTACTAATTTGTTTGTCTTAAAATGTTCTCCATTTTCCTTTCATGTTTTTATTGTATCGATAATCCAATTTGACTATTCACTGCTTGCTAGGAAGAGTGAGACCGTGTATCCAACCACTCTGCTATTTTTTCACTATATTTATTTGATGCATGATGTGATTCTTAAATTTATTGAATTGAATTATGATGCTTATGAATTTTTGGATTCACAGACACTTTGTGTGCAATAACATATTACTCTCAAGTGCAAAAATACAACTTATAGTTGCCTAACACTTCCAAGCTGGCCCCTTAACTTGATGGAAGATGTCATCAGGAGTTCTAATGACACATTAGTACAGTTATAATATAACCCATTTTCTGTTTAACACTTCACAGATGTTAGCGAAGCGAAGACATTGCTTCTGTATATTTTTGGCTTAATAACAGCGTTTTTGGCTAAATGCAGTGTATTCATGTGAATTTATCTTTAATTTTATATACCAAAGCACTACTATCGCAATTGTTGTTTTAGATGTAAGCAGTAGTTTATTGACAGTTTTATAATCTCTTTTTGAACTTGTAATAATTTTTACTATTGCAGGTGCTGAACATGTGCTCCTTAATCTGAGTAATTCTTGTTGAAGTGGTCGTGGTCTTCCTTTGCCTGCCTTAATAGATGAGCGATACCACAATTGTTGTTTATATTAGATGCTTCTGTACTTCACCTGATGAAGCCTAAATCTTTTCATTGTAGAGGACAGGGATGAATATCTCTGCCCTTCTAACTTCTGCAGGCATTAACATTGGCCTGTGCGCACTACTACTTTCATTATACTCAGTCTTGAGAAAACAACCGGGCAATATCAATGTGTATTTTGGCCGCAGGCTTGCTCAAGAGCATATCAAGCACCAGGATTCTTTCAGCTTGGAGAGATTAGTGCCTTCTCCTAGTTGGATCGTGAAGGCGTGGGAATCATCGGAAGAAGAAATATTGTCAATAGCTGGCCTAGATGCTGTGGTCTTCCTTAGGATACTTGTCTTCAGGTGGGTAGGCATTTCCTGATAATTAATGATAGAGACTGTGCTGCTTCATGTTTTTCTTGTCCTTCTAAATTTTGCTAGCCTTGTAAAGCTTCGATATACTAAAATTGTGTAAGGTTGGTTGGAGATTTGTCATATTGGTGAAGGTTAACATGTTGAACACTTTTGTGAAGCAATGTAACACTTCTATTCAGGGTCGTTTCCAAACATAAAACAACATTTAACTACTTTCTGTTTGAAGTGACATCATATTTCGTGTCATTACTGAATTCTATTGTGGTCAAATTTTTAATATGTATCGTCTGTTTTTGGTTTTTAGTTTTCGGTCTTCTTGTTTTGAGTTGTGTGGTCATTTGTTGTGGATAATTTGGTTTTTAATTTTAAAGGACATTGTTTCAAGGAGAACATTGTAAGTAGATAAAGCCATGATATATTGAAACGGTATTTCTAGTTTTGGGAAGTGATAGAGCTTATGAATCTTGTCTTTGTACATGGGACCTTTTTTAGATGTTTACATCCTTTTGGGCCATTAAAAGTTTAGCTGTTTTCCTTTACCTCCTTTTGTGGATTCTCTAGGTTCTATAGATATGATTACATCACTTAATTATATGTAATTTTTTTCTTTATGAGTTATTCTTTCAAGCTCTAATGGGCTGAAACAGTTGAACCATCTTAAGTACTTGCATGATAAGTAGCAACATGACTGTAAAAGTGTGATTTTGAGAAAAGAAGTATTTTTTCTGGGGAAGAAAGATTGAGAAAGTGTGACCTTAAAAAATGCTGCATCTTTTTGGAACATTCTGAATCAAATCCTGGTACTTCTGTAATTGTTTCTTCTATCTAAAATTGCATTTGAGAAAAAAAGCAATTTGGTCGAATCAGGATGAATCTAGGGTTTATTGGTTATATGCCCTTTTGCTTCTGTCATAGAGCTTATTTTCACATGCTTCTTATTATATCTAAATATTTCTTCGTGCTTTCATAACTGCTGTGCTGATTATTATTGTTGCTTCAGCATACGGATATTTTCAGTTGCTGCCATCATTTGCATGTGTTTCGTGCTACCATTGAATTATCACGGACAATCTCTTCATCGCTTTTATTTCAAACACATTCCTTCGGAATCATTGGATGTATTTACCATAGCCAACGTTAAGGAAGGTTCGAAATGGTATGCTTCGAAATCTGCATCTGTTATTCATAAGAAAGCAATGAACTTCCACAAAGATGAGTAATATGCATTTCATAGATTTGGGGTTCACATACACAACAGAAAAAACACAAGCAAGCCCAAACAAATATGACATCTGTTGGCATGTATGTGTGCTTATTTATAGAATGTACTACTTTTGCGAGTGTGTATGCAGAGAGCATATTATTATATGTTTATACATACATATATTTACTGTACGTAAACTATATATGCATGTACTTGAAAGTATACTATTTAAATGAGCTTGTATGTATGTGATGATACCAACAAATGCGTTTGTGGATATGTTGTGTATGTCCTTATATGCATATGCATGCATGCATGCTTTCTTGTAGGCATTACATCTGTACCTAAGAACCAACATATATGCATGCAGAGAATATTATATCCATTTGTCAGTTTGTCGAATCACTCATTGTAACTGAGATTTCATTGGACCATTATTTGCATGTTACAATATTTCTACTTTGTTGAGATTAGCACTGACTCTCACTCTTGATTGTTGAAATTTCTTTGCAGGCTTTGGGTACATTGTGTGGCTTTGTACATCATAACTTGCTCAGCTTGCATTCTACTGTATTTTGTAAGATTGTGTTTTCTATTGCTTAAACATTTTTTTTCTTGGGCTTTGGTTTTGTACATATAGAGCTGTTTCGTTCGTTTAAGGCCTTTCACTATTGTTCTTATTTTTTTATGAGGTTTAGGAGTACAAAAGCATTGCTAAAATGAGGCTTGCTCATCTTATTGGGTCCCCTCCCAACCCAAGTCACTTCACAGTTCTAGTTCGTGCCATTCCAAAATCTGACAGTGAAAGTTTTAGTGACTCTGTGAAGAATTTCTTCACAAATTATCATTCATCCAGTTACTTGTCACATCAGATGGTTTTTAAGACAGGAAAAATACAGAAACTTATGGTATGATGTTCTTTATTAATCTATTTATCACCAAAGGATTTTGAATTTGTGGATTGACATCATCTGGCTAAATTAATTGCCCTAATAGTTTAAATCCATGAGATTATTATATGGAGTCTCAAATGTTTCTTTTATGTTACTCAAGTTGATTATATGAAGCACCTCCAAATAGAGGTCAAAGTGTGATCCCTTGTTCCCAGAAGAAAAATCAGTACCTTTCTTATTATCTGAATACCCTCTTTTCGAGAATATATGGAAATCTCTATCTTTGGCTCTTGGTTTATGTCTAATGATCTTTGGAGTTTGAGTCTTTTCATCATATTATTATTCATTTTATAAAATATCAATTTATTGGTCCATGCTACTCCTAAACATGGATTAGAATTTGGAATGCACAAGTAGCATGCTTGATTAACCTCGTAATGTGTAATGTCATTGACATATCTAAAATATAGCATGATTATGAAACTATTCATATAATAAATCTTATAATATATGATTGCACTGTACATGCTGTCTAAGTTATAATCTCTCTGTCTCTCTCCACTCACACGCATATGTGTATGTGTTTGTGTTTCATGTGCCCTTCTTTTATACTCACTCACCAATGGTTATGCTTGTATGCAAGAACCTTAGTCTTTATATCTTTAAGAAAAATAATGAAATCATCCTGTCCCTCAGATGCCTCTTTCTGTTTTTCTTCCTTTTTGTACTTATTATTCTCTTCTTATGTTCTGTAACCTTTTTCACATTCTCCATTTCCTTTCTTATCTCTATAACAAACTAAATAATTGCAATTTTTCTTGTGGATACTCAATAATTGTCCTTTTTCTTCCATTACTCTGCTTCCCTAGCATGTGACTATTAGGGCAATAAAATTTTCTCCTTTTGCTACATTTGCCCAGTTTTGCTTTTCCTAGCTCCATTACATTATCTACATTATCTATGTTGTTAGTGCTAGTCTGCTGGACCATATTGCTAGTGAGCATAAAAAATAATGGAAGAAACTACCATCTTTTCCCATTTACATGTACGTGCTCTCAGTCTCACCTTTCTAACACATTTCACGAGCATTAATGGATAGAATCTGTAATAAGGAAGGAATAAGTCTTTATGTGGAACTTTTGTCAAGATCTTGGGTGTTGTTCTCTAGATCCGGGACTGCTCTATGCCCATGCCCATTCGCTGCTCCATTTCATCTCTAAAGTGTGTTGGGAATCAACTTCTTGAAAGTCTTTGCACCTTTGTAGGATAAGCTTGAAATCCTTCTGAATTTCCATGCCACTGCTGTATAGTGAGCCAGTTGATCACCATGAGGGTGACTTTAAAAAATCACTGGGTGGTCCTTAGGTGCCCAGCCTGGCCTAGGGTGTCCAGCACCTAGGCAGGCACCCAGAACCTTTGACTCTTTGAGGTGACAAATTTTCAATAACATGTATATATATATATGCTGTCCAAACACACATATATGCAATATTTATGGTAATTTTGTATTTTTTTTGCATTTATATGTATTCTAACTAATCTTTTTTATGCAAATATATATGCATGAATGTTGAAACATGTTGAAAACTTCCTATCATTTAAAATTTAGTGAAGAGCACTAATAAGTCCATAAATTTATTGAAACAACTTCATTTTTCTTCCATAAATCTGCTTCCCTAGCATGTAACTATTAGGGGGATGTAATTTTCTTCATTTGCTAGATTTGCCCAGTTTTGCTTGTCCTAGCCCCATTGCATTATGTATCATATTCTACAATGTTAGTGCTAGTCTGCTGGACCATACTGCTAGTGAGCACCAAAAATTAAAGATAAAAATACCGTCTTTTCCCTTTTATATGCAGCTGCTCTCAGTCTCACCTTTCTGACATGTTTCACTAGCATAAATGGATAGTATCTGTTGTATGGAAGGAATAAGTCTTTATGTAAAATTTTCATCAAAATCTTGGGTGTTGGTCTCTAGATCCTGGACTGCTCAATGCTCACGCCCATTGAGTCAACTTGTTTGCTGCTCCATTTCAATCTCTAAAGTGTGTTGGGAATCAACTTCTTGATAGTCTTTACACCTTTGTAGGATAAGATTGAAATCCTTCTGAATTTCCATACCACTACAATATAGTAAGCCTGTTGATCACAAGGAGTGAGTCTTTGAAAAACACTAGGCAGCTCCTAGGCGCCCGGCATGGCCTGGGGCATCCAGCACCTAGGCTGGCACCCAAAACCTCAAGCACCTTGAGGTAACAAATTTTCAAAAACAAGAATATACATGTTGTTTAAATGTAAATCTATGAAGATATTGGTGTTAATTTTGTATTTAAATGTATTTTAACTAATTTTTTTAATGCAAATATACACATGAATGTTGAAATATGATCAAAACTTCAAATCATAGTTAAGGGAACCTTGTGGGTAGTGTGGTGATCCTGCTTTGGAGCCTCAATCCCACAATTCCTGCAAGGGATCTTGTGGGGACCCCACTTTTTTCGATTTTGGGATCTCGCTCCTGAAAAATGGGACCACGTTCCATCCATCAGTGGAATCCAGTTCCATTTCAAAATAGATCCCCGCTCCCACATCAACCATGATCTAAGGTTTTGGTACATTAAAATCTTGGGTTCCATGTTTATGGGATATAATTTCATTAACAGATGATACCAAGTTAGAGATTGCCATTGTCCCAACTTCCTATTATTTTGGAATCATAAGTTCCATGATGGTAAAATCCAGTCCCTTTTTCACATAGCACGAAGTTCCACTATTTTAGATTCTTAATTTGAACTAAGCATAGTTTAGAGTAACTTATTGTTTTATTAAGTCCTATTGTGTAAGCCATCCCTCTTAGTTGTGAGACTACATTTTTCATTTAAAATCTTATATTTATAATGTCCTATTGTTTTAGATTCTTAAAGCACAATGATGAATCCTCTTAGTTGTGAGATGAGATTATATGCTTTCATTTCAAGCTTTAAAAAGCTTCTTTTACATCTAAGAGAAGGAGTAGTTCATCTTGTCCTCTTGCCCCTTCGAAAAGCCACGCTTTGAGAAACAATGGAACCAGAGGAGACTACATTCGAAGAAGATGACCCTTGAGTGGTAGGATCCTGCATTGCTGAGGACACTGAGGGAATGGTACGTGCCAAACTTGTGTCATGGCCTGAAGATGTAGTGGGAGGGACATGCCTTGGTAATGGAGCACTCTGACGAGCCTCACCATCAGCATCAAGGCGGTCGCCTAATGCTTCTAATGCCCCAACATCATCCTCGAGATGGTCATCATCAGGGTGAAAATCCTATCCTATGTACTTCTTTGTATATTCTGATCGTAGTCTACTTAACAACATGTCATTGTAGTGAATATAAACCAATGACTCGGAGCGTTGAGTATTTAACCTGTTAGGCTTAACACTGTGAATATAACTATACATACTCCAGAATCTCTTAGCACGTGACGAGTTGGCACTCTGAGACAACACATAGCTAGTGGAAATAATTCAGGAACCCACCACCATATAGATACCACCACGAAACAACTGACATTGTTCCTTACAAAATCGCTGATGTGTTGTCGTATTCTGCCCCTCTCATTCTCGTTTGGGTGCAATCTCTCAAACGCAGCAAGATAAGACAAATACTTTTTTATCGTGGTGCGGCTTTAGCCTCTTCTCCGCACCAGGAGTTGGCATAGTTAACCATTCTCGAGAGTGATGCTTAGGACTTAAAACATATACCAAACATAGTTAAGAATCTCGATTTTTTTTTTGATGAAGTTAAGTATTGTATTAAAAAGAAAAAGATTATAGTATACCTTCGAGAGGGCCCACAGGTCATGACTCTCCGCAAAAAATAGGCTACCAAAGAGGAGAAGCCCGGTACAAAAATTGATGTGGCTTATAAGTTTTTGGCATCTCTCTCAACAATCAGTGGTAATCCCCACGAGGGATCAAACAATTTGAGTCCAAGGAGGAGAGTTGTAGACTCTGTGAACGGAGAGTTTGTGTGGCCAATATGCTTGGAAAAGGAGGCCAGAATGTTGTCATGGTGATCTCTGAAGACTCCACCCACTCCTGCTGGTCCTGGGTTACCAATGGAGCATCCGACGAAATTAAGTTTGATGACGCCTGCTAGGGTAGGAAACCAGTTGTTGGCTCGTGAGATCCGAGGGGAGTGGAAGTGGAGAACTTCTTCCCAATTATGTAGGAAAGAATCTGTCGAAATGCCGGTGAAGGCCTTGTGGTTGGATGCCCAGAAGATGACCTGAGAGGTCATCTTGTGGAAGAGGGCAGAAACTTCGCACTTGACACCTCGAAAAACCCTGAAGCTTCGTTCGGTCCAAATGACCCAAATTGTTGTCGCTATGGAAGCCTTCCATAGAAGTCTGCCCACCTTCGGCCATGAAAAATCCAAGGAGGAATTAGGAAGGGCCGGTAGAGAGGCAGGAGCAACTCAGGTGAGGTCGAACAGTCAAAGGATTTGACTCCAGAGGTTGAGGGCAAGGTTGTAATGAATAAAGAGATGGGGGTTTGTCTCTTCCTCGCAAAGGCACATGGCGCACCGGTTGGGAATGGGGATACCTTTCCTTTGTAGTTGGTCTACAGTGAGGGCTTTTCTGAGCAAGCTATCCAATTTAAAGCTTACACTTTAGGTGGTGCTATTGTGGACCACACCTTTGATACAACTGAGGTTGGTGCGAGGGGGAAGGTGGGAGGTGGGAGGTTGCTGGAGTTTTTTGTAGAAGGAGGCTACTGAGATGGAGCCCGACGGGGAGGGGGTCCACACCAAGCTGTCTACGCTAGAGAGGGTGAGGAAACTAGAATGTAGGATTGCCGACAAGGCGGTAAAGTCCAAGGTTTCAGGAGTCTGAATGAGGGATTTCAAACCGTACGATTTATGAAGATAGAGTTCTCGTCTGCAATTGTGGAGGATTTGTTGGTGGCAAGGGAAAATGGTGATGGGAATTGGTCCCTTAACGAAGTGTGGCCCACCCAAAGATCGGACCAA